CTGGCAGGCAACAGCAGCTATGGCACGTAAACGTTCAGAAAGATGGGCAGCTTTGTGCCTGTGCTTTCCCCTGCTGTGGAAAAAGCTCTTTGCCAACACTGGTGTGGCTCCTGCTGCAGATGTGGTGTCATTCAGATGTTTCTGAGAAATTTGCATCTTCATTTCTCAGTAATAAGAGCCAAACATCCCTGTATGTATAAGGCCACATAGTGGGCCTTTTTTTTTTTTTTTTGCTATCATAAGCCCACTCTCTAATAATTAAACTACAGACACTTTTAGGATCCACAGTGATGCTTCAGAGAGGCTTATGCAAAGTCTTGCATTTGATGGGAAGACTTTCCTTCTCTGTGGGAGCTATATAAGGGCCATTCAGGGCCACTCCTAGGAATAAATGTGCTTAGTACTGAAATGTGTTATCCAGCTGTTTGTGCTCAGTCTCCTGCACCACTTCTCAACCTCCCACCTACCCATTTCCAACTGTCCCTCACTCCTCTCTGAATTTATAATACTGTAGTAGAATGAAATACAGTACAAAGCATCAGGCATACATGCATTTATCAAGCTGATGGTTTCTGAGAAGTGTCTGATCTTGTCCAAAAGATTACTTAGATGGTAGCAACAACATGTCTTTCCTGGATATATTTCAAGGAGCAGCTGTTCTTCTATTATCCTTCTTGGGTAGCTAGTCCATCCACTCTCTTGTGATGAAGGGGCACATTGAAGTTAATACAGGTCTTTGTGTATTTACCACTGCCAAGACTAGAAGAGGCTTTTATGGTCATTTATCTGGCTTCTTGTACAAGACAGATTGATTGCAGCATGCCAGCAAGCCAGCACCTTTTACAGCAGCAGTAGTGTCACTGAATTTACTAGAACAAGATGCTGGAAGTTAGGTCCTAAATCTAGGGCCATTACAGATGATGGAAATCATCAGCAAGACTGAAATGCACCATCTGCAGGAATAACTGATGGGATTCTGCCATCTGCTCCAGCCTCAGTCGTTGCTGTGAACCACAGACTGCTTTGTCTAAGGGGGTTATGTTCTTTCAGACCAGAAATAAAGGGTGGGTTTTTTTGTGAGGTTTGGCTGTTGACACATGCTTACAGCTGGAAAAGAAGAAAATGTGTCTGAGGAAGAACACCTGGGGTTAAAGGTTTAACAGCATGAGGCTGTGTTGGGGTTGGGTTTTAGGTTAGGTATCAGGAAAAGGCCCTGCCCCCTGGGGCTTTTTGGGGGTCTGGAATGGGCTTACCAGGGAAGTGGTCACAGCTCCAAGTCTATCTGAGCTGAAGAATTGTTTGGACAATGCTTTTATGCTCAGGGTGTGATTCTTGGGGTTGTCCTATGCAGGGATATATTGATCTTTGTGGGTCCCTTCCACCACAGAATATTCTGTGATTCTGTGTAGGGTTATGGACATCACAAGGAGTCATGTTTCTTCAAATAATCAGGTGAGGACTATCCTGCATAATTTATGATTTGAAAACATTCATTTAGTTTTCTTGAGAGAAGGATAAAAAATTTGTGCAGACAACTGTTTCAATATCAGTGGTGTGTGTGTGTGTCACTATTTCTGGAGGATTTCCATTGTGTACAGGGCTCTCAGTTAGCTCTGAGGGACTGAGTCAGCATCTCTGCCAAACCCTTGGCTAAAGCTCTCTTTTGAGTTATTGATCTTCATATTTCCTCCACTCTATTAAAGCTGGAGTTTTCCCTTTCTTGGCCCTGTGTGAGGCAGAAGTGAAGAGGAGGCAAATTGTGTCCTTCATCAACCAAATGGCTGAAGCTATGTGGGAGCCAGCAGCTCCTTGGAATTTCACAGTGCAGGGAAATGCCCTTTCCTAGGGCTGACTTTGCTTCTGCCTTGCTCCAGCCACTGCTCAGGATTCCTCCTGCTTTGTAAAAAGCTGCAGGAAAGGGGAATGTGCTGTCAGGAAGCCCTTAGCTGCCATCCTGGGCAACCCAGCAAGCCCAGGAGAGCTCCCAAGAATGAAGTTACCCTTTCCCAAAGCTTCCCCTCCACATATCACCCATCTGAGGTTCCAATTAAAACCAAATTTGCTCTTCTTCTCTCACACCATGCCTCATCAAAGCCTGGTGAGAAATTTAGAGGTGTGAAGGTCTTGGGTAATGCTCAGTGCAGGATGTCTGACTCACGTGCACACACCATTAACCATAACATAAGTTTCAAACCAGAGAAGATGGCACAAACTAGCAGATGGGCTACAAATCTACTTTTTGTAGGCTTTCTTTTCTAGTAGATCAAATAACAATATTTCTTTTCTTATCTCTTTTTTTTTTGTCTAAATAAGCCCCAGGCATGAATGTTTATTGGCTCATCACTAAGCTGAGAACCTGGAGTGGCAACAGCTGCATCTTGTCTCTTGAGATGTTGCCTTCAGATGTGGGGGGGGCTCTGACACCTTTACAAGGAAGTGTGAGTATGATACTCACATTCCCTGTGAGGAAACTGTGCACTGTGTTACAAAGAGCAAGCCACAAAAGGAAATGAACGAGTACAGGGTTTTGTGGCTTCTGCAGTGGAAACAATGCCACAGAGAGAGAGCAAAGATGTGCAACGACATTGTTGAGGTTGTGCTCAGTCCTCTGCCCTCCTGTGTGTCAGAAGTTGGGGATGTGTAGCAATGCAGTGGGATAAACAGGGCTCAAGCATCCTCAGCTTGATGCTAAGGACAGGTCTAAATGAACCAGGCCCAGCTTAGAGTACTTCTTTCCAAGTAGCATCTAAAAAATCCCTTCCTTCTTCTAAAGTGGGGATCAAAGCCCAGTCAGGACTGCAGCATGACATTGTCTTGTTCCTCAAGAGAGGAAGGGTAAAGCTGGCAGGATATTGACATTTCCCCACTTGTCATCTGGCAGGAAGGCTGAGCTCAGAGACATGAGATGCTTTGTCTTTCTCCAGCTGGGTCTGATGGTGCAGGAGGTTTCTGAGGCTGGTTAGAAAAGGGGCTGCTTTTGGGACAGACCATGTACCTGCCACGATCTCGTGGGGAATTCTTGCTGCAGGTGAGTGATGTGCCCCTTTGCAGGTCTGGCTGTGCTTTTGGCTTTTGTTTCTCAGAATCTTGCAAGTGGATTTGGTGTACTCAGGAATACCAAGGCCTGGTGTCACTTCTGTGATGTTCAGTGACCATGGGACATCAGCCATTGAGCATTTCTCTCAAGTGAATCTTCACTGCTCACAGTGAGCTCATCTTTGAACAGACATTTCATATCCTTTAGGAATGGTTTCTTGCTCCTGCCTACCTGTTGGTCCAAAGAAACCAGGAAGTTTGGTGAGATGGTTTGCTGGACCATAGGGGCTTTTGGTCTGACTCATTTCAACTGTGAGTTTAGAAGATTGTGTGTGGCACGTGGGCATGCCAAACTGATTAACTTAGTTAATCACTAAGTAATCTCCTAAGTTAACTAAGATACACTAAGTTCCCTTAGTTAATCACTAAGCCCACTAAGTAGTGGCCTTCATTATGAATACAGGGAATTCTTCCACACCTGGCTCTACCACTCTGGAGCTTTACCTGTCTTCTCTCTCCCACATTCACACATCTTTCTGTTTGCATTTCATTTGTTCCATGGACAATCCCCACCCCAGTGCTGGCAGTGTGAACGTGCCAACAAACAGACAACATGCAGGGGTACCCTGGAATCAGGCACTGCCTTTGAGGGATGTTGCCCTGAAGAAGCAGGGAGACAAAGTTGAGCAGAGCATAGACAGTGGTTTCTGCTTGATGGACCCAGCAAAAAAACCTCAAAAAAAACTGAGAAGAAATCGGTGTTGCTGCCTTTGCCCAAATTTCTTTAGTGCTCAGGTTGGAAGCAGACGTGTCCTGGAGTTTGACACAGCTTGCTTGGCTGAGGAGATACTTGAGGGTGGCAGCCCCTGCCCTCAGCTTGTTTCTTGCCACAGAGGGTGGAGGTCAGGCACAGAAATGTGATCTGGCTGCTATTGCTTCCTCTCTCCTTTTGTGTGCGCCTCCTTTGTGTGTTCTTTATAAGGAAACCGTAGCAGAAAGAAGGAAGAAAAGCTGGATTTTCCTGCAAAGAGTGTTTTTTACCTCATTAGTACCAGTAAAAAATGATTAAGCTGGAGAAGGGAGGTATCTTACAAGACCTTTCTTAAACTTCAAGGTAGAGGAATAACGTGAATGAACAAGAATGATTTATCTACTATTGTACATTTCTAGTGCCACAGATTTTCTTCTGTCTTCTTTCTTGGCCTACATCTGTGACAAAAAGCTGGAAGATTTCAGTGGCTGCCGTAGCAGAGGAATTATTCTGGTGAGGATAAGATTCAAAATCCTCACCACTCCATCTGTTTCATGTTGGAATCAGGAATAAGGGCTTTATTAGCTTCTCACATGTTTTTGGACCTAGTTCCCATGCCTCCTCACTGCTCCTTTCCTTGCTGTCTTTCCCACACCAGCAGCTTCAGGGCTGCTTTGTGGCTGGATCAAGGCTGTTTTATCATCCCCCTTTCCATGCTCATCCCTCTCACAGCTTGCTGAAGTGGCTGGCCCTGCCTGCAGGCAGCGTTTGTGGCTCTGGCCAGCCCCTCATACACCAGACTCAAAGCTGATCCCGATGGTTTCCAAGGAAAGTGTGGCTCCTTTCTAGGCATTGTCCAGCAGGCACCTGCTCCTCACGGGGTCCTGGGCTTGCTCTCCTCTTGCTGCTGCTGAGGCTGGGGGGGAGATTTAGGATTCCCATCACTCCCCCACCCAAAAACTGCATCCCTCCCACTTAGGATGGATGCTGGAGCTGAACTCTTCAGGTGAGCACCGAGGAGGACAAAGGTTCCATCTGGCCCTCCAGCTGGGTGGACAAACCTCCAGGGCATTCCTGCCTTTTAGTGCCCATTTTCTTTGTGTCTACATGTTACCTCCATGCAGACAAAACACCCTGCTGAGACTTATTTCCGCCCCTGCTAGAAATGAGAAGTGCTGGAGGAGAGGAGGAGGGCACAAAGGCTGTGCCGACATGTCCCATCACTGCTTGCTCACAGCAGAAAATCTTTTCACCTGCCAGGAGCTGTCATTAGACAAGGCAACACTGGATTTTTTTTTGACCCTGAAAATGAACTTTAAGAGGATTTTCCTAGTCAAGTGCTTGCTGCTTTTATTTCCCAGTGTAAAAAGTGAGTTTTTCTTACTCTTTTTTTTGCTCTTTTGGGCTGATGCTAAAATTGTATTTTAAAGCATTTACAACTTGGTGGGCTGCTACTGATAAGAAACTTGTTCCACTTTTCCAATGAGTGAAGACATCTGGGTTATTGCTATTATTATTTGATTTAATTTTCAGCCAGGGGGAGGGCAGGACCTGAGTTTCCTATTCCCGTTATAATAATAAGCTGTAAAGAGTTTTGGTTTTAAGTTAATGAGCCTTAATTTGACACATGTATAATGAGAAATGTCAGCATGCAGTTTGCTTTCTGCCCTCGAGGTAGCTTGTACTACATTAGAGATCCAGTTCACTGTGCATTATCGCATGTAATTTCCTTTTCTTATCAAAGATGTGCAAATCTTTTGGAAGTGCAATTTATATTCTTACATAAATATTAACAGAGTGATATATTTCAGTGTCTTCAGTGGAGTTGAAGTCTAAAGTGTGAAAACAGCAAGCAACTGCATATATTTTTTATATTTTGCTATTTTTGTTGTCATTATTTTTTAAAATATTAATCTAAAAACTTAATTAAGGTGTTAACTCACAGATTAGGGAAGGTTTTAAGAGATGGAGGCAATATAAGCCTGCATAATTTTTTTCCCTCTGTTTCATTCCACTAAGATTGTATGTATGGCTGTTTAATGCTTTGCTTTTCCTTCAGAACAAAATTAATAGATAAATAAGGATTTCTTTTTTTATATATACACGATCTATAAAACATCTTCCACAGTAGAAATAAGAAATCATTTTCCTTGAATGGAACATTGTTTCAGAGACTTTTTTCCTTTTCTAAAATTACTATGGCACTTTTTCTTTTAACTCTTTCTTGTGACTGTGGGTGAGCTGTAGGCTCTCAGTTAAAACCTTTTTTGCCCTTTGGAGCACATTTTAGTTGGCCTTTTTATCAGAAATGTTGTTTCATTAACTAAACAGATTTTTGGTGTGGGATACTCAGTTTCCACTAGAAAGACTATGGAGATCAGATCAACCTCTAGAGATGTCTAAGTGGTCCACAGAGATGCCACTGAATTATCCTTGAAAACCCAGATTACTTTTTTTCCTTTACTTTCAGAGGGAAAATATAAGTAGTGTCTGCTATGCAAAGAAATCCTATTGCCAGCTCTAAATACTTGGTCATGACTGAGCAGAAACAAGTATCAGAATTCAAATATTGGGGTATAATGTGTGGTGTCATCTGTGTGGGGCATAGCTGCTTCCAAGGCTGTTTAGTTGATAGCTTTATTTCAGGACATTTCATTAAATATGTCAAATACCTTGCAAGAAAGGCAATGCTGAAAGAATAACCTCTCTTTAGAGGTGGGGAATTGCCAGAAGCACTGCAGCATTAATGTTCTTGTTGCAGAGGCATGCTATTTTCGTTCTCTGATTATCTCTAATATTGTTAGTTTAATAGAAATAGCCACTGGGTTTCAGTTTCCCCTCTGTGGTGCCATTTATCATTATCCCAGCTACAAGGAATGGAGGGCTGTAATAAAAAATATGCATAAACACAGTTTTTCTCTCTGTGGGGAAAAAATGCTTAAAATATATAAAATTAGAGCAGAATCAGCTCTGTGTGGTGATGGGGAGGGAAATCTCCTGCTGATTGGCTTCATCCTGTAAACTGAGGAGGAATGAACACAAGAAAATGACAAACTAAACAAGCTGTGGCTCTTCAGGTGTCAGTGAGCTTATCCCACCTGACGCTTGCACGCAGATTTCCATCTCCTCCTGCAGGTTTGTCCACCTGCCACGGGGGTGGGGACAGAACCTCACTTGAAATGACCTCCCAGCAAAGTTTCCCAAGTCCTGGCTCACCAGGAATGCGACCTGCAAGGACAATGACTGAAGCAGCCTGGAGGGGAGCACCCGGGCACTGCTCCAGGAGTGTGCCAATCCCCACTGCTGCAAACGTGATGGGTGTATAGTAACCTCGGCTTTCATGAATATCCCCTTTGGCCAGCCACGTGCTCTGGTGCTTCCCAGTGCTGACACCACCTTTGGGAAGTCCCTACTCTTAACTGGCTTTTTAAAATTGTTTGTTTGTTTGTTTTTGTGTTTTATTTTTTTTTTCCTGGCAATTGCTTTTTTTTGTAATGACTCCTGTACCCCCTCAGTTCACAGGATATTGGTAGCTGTTTCTTCCTGCCTCTACTTGCCCCATCAGGATCCTGTGCCTTACACTCACAGCCTGACATGGGCTACTACTGTTATCATCATTGCTATCACTGGGGTTGCTGAAATGATTCTGCTGTCCAGGAACATGACTATTTTTGCTGTTTGCAGTGATGGGCACTCTGGGTACCAGCCTGTGTCATGTGCAAAACACAGACGTGACCTCCTTTTCAGGAAGGGCTAAGTTCATGTTCAAGTTAATGGGAGGCCGTGAATCTTGGCATCCAGAGTTGCTCCGAGTAAGTCAGCCAGGGTATAAATTCAGCTTTTGAAAGCTGGACTCTTTGCTTTCTTGCCTCTCAGAATTAAATTGAATGCTGGCATTTATCTAATGAACAGTCAAGAAGTGCTTTGGAGCAGGGGAAGAGGGTGGCATCAGTAAAGCAGAGAGGATTAGGCAGCTCAGGAAGGAGTGGGGGGCATAGCAAATGACAATGACAACCTTTTGGGTGACTGCTGCAGCTGCTGGAGAGAGCTGATGGGCTGCCTGTGCTTACCTCCACAGGCTCCAATACCAGCTGGATTTACAAGGCAGTGAACGAGACAGCTCTTCTCAGCATCACTGCTCCCCTGGTCCCTAGCAACACCTACCAGGTAATATGGACCAAAAGCAGGCAAAGGCTGGTTCAGCTCAAAGGTAACATCACTAAGTACTTTGTGAACAAGGAGCAGTGCAGGTGTACCATGCTCCGAAATGGGACTCTGCAAATCCAGCACCTGGGGAAAGAGGATGGTGGAAACTACACAGTGATGGTTTACCAAGATGGAAAACTGAAGGCAGAAGAAAATATAGCGTTCTTTGTTCAGGGTGAGTTTCTGCTTTTCCCATATCATTCCCAGCACAGCTGAACAAGGCTTGGTATGCTCTGCTCTCCCCCACAGCCTTTCCTACTCAGTGCCCTCCTTTTGTTTAGGAGTAGGAGGACTTCTATAGGACATACCCTTTTCTTCCTGCCACTGACAGCAGTCTGCCTCTCTTCGTCCTTCTCTTGCTCTGATTGATGGCCTCAAATCCTTGGCTTCTCCCCGAGTCCCCTGTTTGGCAGCCAGCAAGTTTCTAGCTGTGCCCAAAAAAAGCAGCAGGGTGAGGGTGGTCAGCCCTACTGCACAAATGGTGCCATGACTCTGAGCTGGGGATGGACCCTGAGAGGGGACTGGGCTCCCAGCAGCATCCTGCTTCCAGAAATCTCTGGAAGGACCACAGCAGCCTATGTGAGGTACAGCTGTGGCTGATGCATTTTGGTTTTCAGGAACTTCTGGTGCCACTTTATTGGCACTGAGTTATGACTTTTGTTCTCTGGCTACTGGTCCAGCAAGATGAGCAACTTGTGTTGCCAACCCCTTGAGGAGAGCCCAGGAGTCCAGATGGCACTAACTGCCTGCATTTAGGCAGTGGAATCCCACTCCATTTTTGCTCTAACATACAAAATAGACAGCAGTCACCTCCCCTGAGATAAACCACAAAAGGAGTTTAATTTGCAGTGGAAGAAGACTCCTGCACCCTATCCTTGCATAGCATAACACAACAAAAATTATGATTGTGATGTTCAAAGCACAGTTAAGGACATAAGCACGAGGGCAGCTTCTGTTCCTGTGCTGTATCTTGTCCTAAAAGATTGGAGCAGTAGCAGCCCAAAGGTTTTGGGGTGAGTAGGAATGATGGGGATGGCTATTCTGCTCCTTATTTCATAGCTGCTGTGACCTCTCCAGACCTCTAAGCTGTAGGACAGCATGGATTTTTCCCCAATAAGGGGACAGCTTTGTTCTGTCCTTCAGTCATCATGCACACCTTTGCCAACATCTTGAGTTTGTGGCACTAGCTGGGATTACAGAAATGATGCCTCATTGAGGCAGCAAGGACACCTGGAATGGTTTTAGCAGGGTACTATGGGAGGCCCTGTGTCTAATGGGCTGTAAGAAGTGAGGGTGTCTCACTGCTTTGGGAGCTATTACTGAAAACAGAGTCAGGAAGTCATCTAGGCCTGACGTTTCTTGCTTATGTTTCAAGCTACTCTGCTGTCATTGGGGTGTCATCATTTCAGGTCAAGGTTAATGTTCCAGCCCAGCTGTGAGCTGCATCATTTCCTCTGCTGTGCAGCAGAGAGGTTGCATTGCCTCTGACACACAGTTTTGGAACTCCTGTAGTAACTGTTGGGTTCTGGAATAATTTGTCAGCCAGGCTGGCCCTTTGTTACTAGGGCTGGACAAACAGTTGTTAAAAACAAAAAATAGTCCTTATGATATCCTCCCACAACTCCATCACCAGAACCTGGACTCTGTTTCCCACTGAGATGTTTCCCTGAATAATAGGATCCAGTTTGCAGAGGAGGAGTGGGCTTAACAAGGAAAGGGTGCCTGCAGATGGTGTGGTGAGAACCTTGACTGCATGTGCTATGAGCAGCCCTTATTTACTTTAGAATTTATAATCTCTATAATTTACACAGCCTGTAACTAGAGGTGGCACTGGCATGTTTTTGTTTATCTGGCCTTAAAGGTAGAAATCATTATTTTCCATCTGCTATCTCTGCCAGTTGCCTTTACTCGAGGAAAGGCTTTTCTATCTCTTTCAGTGCCACCAGTGATAGAGAAGCTGGAATCAAAAGGCAGAAAGTTGTTTGCAGGGCATGAGAAGAGACAGAAATCAGTTTTGTCTGCCATAGCCTCATTGAGGGCTGAAGTGTCTGTTTTGTGCTCTCCATTCCGGGTTGATGGCCTTCCATGCTGTGCTGTCGTGCCTGCTGAGTGCTCTTGGTAGCACACAGAGCATCATAAGTAGCTTTTTGTAGTTCTTCCTGCTTTAGGGATAATCTCTCCTGATGGACACAGGTGGAACAGGAGCAACTTCACTTGCACCAAAAGACAGGGTCCAGGTGTGGAGGGGGCTGTGGCTCTGAGTCCCTTCCATCCACCTGCAGACTCAGCTTCTTCCCCTCACCTGCCTGGTGTCCAGCTCTGCTTTACTGGGCCACTGGAGGCTACTGCACTGCTTTTTCTTTATTATTGCCTTCTTATTTCTGTAGCAGAGATCTAATTTGCTCTTTATTCTTCTGTGATCTCATTAGATGGTGATTTGGGGTTAATTCTCTGTTCTGCTTAATAGCAGAGGCTTTCAAGAGGAGAAACTCTCTCAGATGTGCCTGTCCCTCCCTTTCTTTTTCAGAACCTGTCCCTCAGCCAGTCCTCATCTTCAAATGTGGGAATAAAAACATATCTGTCAAGTGTGAAGCAAAACAGAAGGCTAAAGATGAAGTGTTTATAATAGAACTGACTCAACCCAACGGCAAAAAAATCCAAAAGAATGAAACAGTGCTGGAATGGCACGGGTGGAATTCTGGGACGTTCAGATGTGTTACTAAGAACCAAGTCAGTGAAAAAAGGGCTGAAAAAGTAATTAAGTGCTCAGGTAAGAAATCTCCTTTATCAGAATGTGCTAGGGTGGACCACACAGCCTGATGCAGTTGCACACATCTGTGGGATTGGTCCAGGAGTGCAGAGATCCCAAGTATCCCGTAGTGTGAGTCGAATTCCAGCACAGTTATTGGGAGCTGATGCTGCTGGGGTAGCCAGGATGCAAGTCCTGCTTTCTGCCTGGCATTCTCCAGCCTTGTCACATCTCCCTGCTCCCAGCCCCCCTGCTACCCTTAAGGCATCCCCACTCTGATGGCAAGGTGACAGAGCTGAGGGCAGTGGGATGTGAGAGGGATTTTTGCTCCTCCCCTTCTCCTGTGGGGAAATCCTTTGTGTTTTTCTCCTCTCTGTAATCATGTTTATGAATGTGGTGGCTGCCTGCAAGCCATGGGTGTGGATGAGTTCTCCCACAAGGGGAAAAATAAGCTGCTTGGACTCTTCAGCTTGGCCTAGAAATCAGGAGGAAAGTTATGGAGAATTTTGCTCCAGGGTTACATGGGTCAGATAAGCATAGCTGAAATGTACCATGGTTTTCCTATTCAGTTGAAGCTTCCTCTTTCTAAACCACAGATGCAGCAACAGGACTGAAAGGATTGCATTTTAAAGGGGGAGAGTCGTGTTGAAAATGATTCAGTAGGCAAAAGAAATCATCACAGTCATCATCCTCCCACACAAGTTTTAGAAGTTAAGGCACAAACAAAGGACAGATCACCCTGGTATGACACTGGGTGTGGTGTTCAGTTCAAAGTTCAGAATTCCAGTGCAGTGCTAGGGAAAAGTCCTTGAATTTGCCAGGCTTGGGTTCATCCCTCCCAGCCACGAGTGCTCTGCTTGAAGCATTCTCTTGCTCTAGATTCCTGCTGGAGCCGGTGGAGAATTTGCAGGGGGCTCACAAGAGCTGACTCAGTACTTCTGATTTTTACCTATTCCGTTGATAGTGAATTTAGGGAAAGTCCAAGTCTGAAGGACAGCCCATGGTATGAGAAGGGAGGGAGCAAGCCTTAAGGTATAAAGGCTTTACTGAAATGATCCCAGGTCTGCCGAGTTTGACTGAAGGGTGAAGAGCTGAGGGACAGGATGGCCTCTGCTCTTGTGTGCAGCTGCTGTCTCCTGAATAATCTTCCTGATTTCAAAAATAGCCAAGCAATGTATTTTTTTTTTTGCTGATGCCTGACCTGATGGACTGCATAGTCCCATTGATGTTAACATTGGGAAGGGGCAAGCAGGATGTGGCATGGACTTTGGAGCCAGGTAAGAAAGGGTGCTGCTGGATTAGGTCTGTTTTAGACAGGGTAAACGATCCCAAATACCTTGTCTGGATGAGGAAATGCCGCCTGCACTGCTGCTATAAGAAGACATTGGCTATTGTCTAGACAATTTTGATTTCACTTTTTTTCACCCCTGAGAAATGCTCTTTTTCTCAGGGTGAATTGGGTCAGAGAGTTTGGTTTTTTTCTCACATCATTAACAGAGAAATACCAACGATCTTTAAAGTACAAACAGCATTTCTCAGACACCAAAACCCCCTAAAACCATGGAGCACTACTCTTCCTACCCAAACTAAATACCTCTCTAACTTTTTTGTGTAGTGGCAGGACTCTGCCAGCTCCGTAGCAGATTAAAAATCCCTCATCTTGCAGTCAAACCTCCTTCTAACCCTGCTGCCCTCTGTAAACACTTGGTCCTGCATTTGAGGCCAATCTCTTTGAATTTTGACCTTTACAGGCAAGGTACATTCAGCTCAGCCAGCTTTTCATGGAAGTGTAATTATATGTGAATCTGTCTGGGCTCCTCTTGCACTCATCTGGGAGAAACAGACACAGAAAAAACAAAATCCACTTGATGTAACACTGGCAACTAAAACAAGTGGCAATCTAAATACCAGTGTATGCCAGTGAAGCTGGCATACATAAATGCTCTGGTTTCAATATTCTGCAGAACTTGAGTCCATCAGGGAGCAATCAAAAGAGAAGCAGCAACTTCCTGCTGTGTGCAGGGAAAAGGCAAAGGGTGGGGTGTCTACTGGTCTGCCTTTGCATTCAACGGAGGAAAATAGAGAATTCTAAGTAGATGTTGTGCAAGTTATTGATTTTCATCTAACATCCTCTTTCATTCCCTTAACTAGGCAAGATGGACTTTTATCTCATCTTAAGCATAGCAGGAGGTGCAGTCTTGTTTGTCATCTTTGTGATTTGTCTTATTTATTGCATCATAAGGAAGAAAGCAAAAAGGCGTGGGGTTTATGGTAAGTGTTTAAGGGGCTTTGTTTTGCTAACCAGCCACCTAAAATATTAGAGCTTCCCACTGACAGCAGCCCTGTGGTGAGGAGCATTTCCTCTGCCCTGACATGAGCAATAGCCTGGTTTTAGCATATGGTGAATCTGTGTACATCAGCTGGCATTGCCAGTCTCACTTTCTGATATGTGCTTTGAGCAAAGCCATCTGAGTATTATTGTACATTATGGCTGTTCTCTTTTGAGTGGTACAGATCACTGCCTCAGCTGTGCAGTGACATCATATCCTCAGCTCTTGGGCCTGGATTCAGCAGGAGTTAAGAAAATGAGCCTGAGAAAATGAGAACTAATATTTTAGCGATTATTTTGTGGTGACTAGCCTCTCTGAAACAGTTTGCTGTGTGTTTAAGGCTGACTCAGTGTCTCAAGAGGTAAATCCCTCAATCCCTAAATTAATGTGAGTGATATTTCAGAAATGATGAGTCAGTGATCAGAAGTCAGATGGTATGAATTTACTTCTTTTGTGTGTGAAAATTTATGCTGGCAGAAGGGATTTCTGGCTTCCAGGTGTCTGGAAATCTCAGCATGGACAATGGCAGGGCGGAGTGCTTTGATGTTGCTTCCTGGGGTTGGATCTCAGTTGCTTCCAAAGGGGACAGAGCAGCTCAGGCTGGGGGTGTCCTTTGATGCCTACTGGGGCTCCCTTGAAGAAGCTGGTTCCTCCAATAGCCAGGGCAGGGCTGCCCCAAAATTCTCCAGGGCAGCCCAAAGCTTCCATGTTGGCTTGGGGAGGTGCAGGCAGAGATGATTCTTGCTGTTCACTGTGACAGCAGGAACGCCTGAGAGCGCCACTTAAAACCCAATATTTGGCTTTTCCCTGCTTGGTCCAAACACATTTCCTTGGCTTTTTTGACTTCTTGTTGTGTGTCTGACCGTGGGGTGCTGCTGTTGTTGCAGAAGAGGAGCGAGCCATGCACACCCTGCACATGGGGTGTGAGAGGGGGGCACGGGAGCTGCCCCAGACCCCGTCCAAGCCCACCCCAAAGCAGCTCCGGGTGCAGCAGAGGCCGCTGCCCCCCCAGCCCCAGGAGCAGCTGCTGCCCCCACGGCCCCAGCCACGGCCCCGAGCCCACCCACGCACCCCAAACCTGCCCAGAGAGAGGCCCTGAGCACACAGCCTGCCCTCTCTGCTCCACCACTCACTGGGAAAAGGAAGCTTCCCCCAGCCAGGAGCCCCTCCTGCCCAGCCCTGCGAAATGCTCCGCTATGAAAAGGCAGCTTTCGATGCAGAAAACGAGAGAGAGCATCAAATGGTGATGAGAAGACTCAAGGTGATGGGCATTGAGCCCTGTGGACATTTTTCTACTGATATCTCCATGTTAGGATATGGAGCACTGAGCCCTGTGCCTTTCTGTGGTTCACTTGTTTTCACTGCACCTTGTTTTCTTCGTGCTTTTTGGATGGTTTTCACCAAGAAGAAGCTAAAGCTCTACTGAGACAAAATGGACCTATGGATCTTACAGGGTTTTGTCTCCTGCTACACATTTGGACAGCTCTCTGGCTTCAGCATCAAATACATGGACTCCTGGACTAAAAATTATTTGTATGTAATTAAATATTTGTCTGAAGTTGAAAGGATTTATTTTGCATAATGCAGAGAAGAAAACATTGAAAGGACGCGTGAGAGACTTGCAGCACCTGTGTGGGATAAACACAAATGGGAAAGGAATAAACTTTGCCTTTTCTCCACTGTGTTTAGAAAAGAAACTGTGAGCTTGAATTGCAGCAAGGGAGACTTAGGTCAGTGTTTTATTGTTTTGGTTTTTTTTAATGTGACACTGAGATTTCTGGGAGAAGTTCTCCAGCAGTGGGTTTCCAAGACTGGATGAAACAACATTCTGTGAAGCCTCTTTGTCCTGACAAGGGCCAGGAGAATGTGCTACACAGCCCCTTCAACTCAGTTTTCTGTGATTTTTAAGCAAATAAAACAAACCTTTATTCTCAGCGTAAGTCTTTGTGGCTATCCAGACATTTTTTTTTTTGCATAGAAGAGGTCTGGTCTCCTTTGGCTTGTGAAACAAAGCATTATGAGCTGACAACCAGTAGGATTACTGATGTCTGAATTGTCAGGGGTTTACATCTGCTGAGGGTGAGGGACCATGTCTCTTGGTTTTGCTGGTGACCATAACAAAGGGATATATAACCATAACAAAGGGATGATAGAGAGCTGCTGAGGGACCTGCATCCCCAAGGGAGAAGTTGGACTGCAATAAGTGCACCTGCATCACCTTCCATGTGCTGGACACTGTTTGCTCCCTTGGGCATTGGGGGTGTCCATAAGTGCCTCTGCAGGACAGCTGAGGAGCTGAGAGCTGTTTTAGAGCAGTGTCTGGATGGGTTCACTGACCCATCTGGGGTCAAAGGTGAAGGAGGAGGGAGCTACAAGAGCCTCAGAGCACCGTGCATCCACCCATCCATCCACCCATCTAGCTGTGTCAGGCAGAGCACCACCTCATACCTCTTTCAGGCTGGCCTATCCAACATGTGCCAGGGGAGATAAAACAGCCATGCTTTGTTTTTCCTGAGAAATATGACTATTTTTATCTTCTGATATGAGGGCGAGGAGGCAACTTGTCAGTAAAAGCAAGTCTCTGCCTCCAGAGCTCAGCCACTTCACTTGAACTCTGACAGCCCTGGGAGTGCCACTTGCTCTTGCCTTAGCTTTCTGCAGCTGATTTTTGGGCTTTTGCTATTTCAAATTGCGTTTAGTAAATGTTTCATGGTTTATTTTGTAACATACCATATGCTATATCCCTGTACTGAATGAATAAAGAGAAGACTGGGTGCAGAGGATCTTAGTTCACAGCTGTGCTGGTACTTCAGTATCTCACTTTGATACAAAAGAGGCAACAAAAATATTTTGGTCCCTGAGGCACAGAAGCAGGGATGCAGGAGGTGTCACACCATCCCTGGCTGATGCTGGGGTGCCAGGAGCTGGTGTGGGTGAGCACAGCTGCTCTGCCTGTCCTGTGCTGCCAGAGCTTTACTGGTGCTGCTCTGTGGTTACAGGTGTGAGGGGTTCTTCCTGGGAGAGAGGGGCCTGAGAAAGAAGATTTATCTCTTTTGGGCTGATTCACACCAAAATACAGCCCTTGGCAGACAGACAAGAAAATACTACTAGCACAAAGTATGCCTGTGCTATGGAAAGCTCACCAGGGCAATACTATTTTAAAATTTTCTCCTTTTTTTTGGATAGTCACCATTGGTTTTGTGATGTCTCATTGTACAAGTACTGTCCATTGCAGTACATCAGGAAAAATGTGAGACATTACAAAACCAATGATGACTATCAATGCTCCATGACACATTCAGAAAAAATGCTGACTTATCAAATAAGCACCAAGCAAACTTCATCTTTCTCAATGCATGTCATGGGGCATTCAAACCTCAAGCTTTTATGCTGTAGTGCAGTTCTGGAAAATGAACTGACACTGGGACCTAAGACATAACAGGATGTGCTTGGCTCTGGTGGCTCTTGCTGTAACATTTATTGGTTCTTCTTTTGTAAATGCATGTACCACTGAGTCATGAGATGAAGTGGTTTTTCCTATTCTCCTTAAGGGGGATGAGATGAAATGATTGATGTGCTGGTCTTGTCCTTGTCTGTCTGCTGCCTTGTCCCCCCTGTTTGGAGAGCTGCAGTTTCTGTTGCCTGGGTATTAGCTGGGATCAGTGGTGTGCTCCAGAGCAAATGCTGAAAGAATGGGAGGGAGGTGCAGACCAAAGCAGGTCTGTAGTTGTGCTGTGGTCCTGTAGCACTCACCAGATGGGCAGACTGAGCAGGTACCCAAAAAAGCAATGGTTGGTTCTGTAGAAGATACAAATCTTCTATCCCAGCATTAATCCTTGTGACAAAAGCAGCACTTGCTGCCCAAACTTGGCCTTTCTAGTAAAGTAGCCAGAACCTGCTTGTATCTCTGTTGGCCATTAGCCTGTCCAGAGGGAGGTTCTCAGGCTTCTGGCACAGACACTGTGCAAGACAACTAGATAATTTAATTTCTAAACTAAAACTCTGAGCCTGTAAAAGGCAAGTAGGAAACCATAGCTAATACAAGACTTTCTTGAGATGTTTGCCAAAATGATGCTATGGGGAAAATACACTCATTTTGTCCTTATTCTGCAACAAATACACAGGTGTTGATGTGGAGATAAACTCCAGTCCATCTGCTCCCTCCCCATTCTGACAGACAGGTATTATCTCATTGTCCTGAAGCCTTGCAAAAGCTTAGAAGTGCTGGGTCTGTGTTTCAAGCTGCAGAGCTCAGTGAGTGGGACAAGGTGTTCCAGCAGAATTCCTTGCAGGTGCCAGCCCTGCAGTGAGCAGCCTGGCATGGCTGGCACCTCCTGATACCCAAACTGGCTGATGGTCACCCTGAAGGACTGAGGGTTTTGTTGTGTGCTGCAGCTGATAATGTAAGAGGTCTGGCCTCAGCTTTTGGATAAAATCAGTTTGTAGGAGCTATCAAGCTGGTGAAATACCATTGCTGGGAAATGCTTTCTCCCTAAGAACAGCAGGGACACAGATGAAGGAGCTTTCCCAAAGCATGGCATGGCTGCTGCTCCACTGGACCTTCTGGAAGGTGTGAAAGGGATCTGTGAGCAGAGAAGAGCAGACATGTGAGGAGCTACCTCATGTCATGATCAGTGAAACATCTGCCAGCTGCTGTCCAGGGTTTCCAGGCTGGGATTTAGGGGCAGAGGACGAGGGCAGGGATCAGCTGAGCTGGCCCAGAGAATAAGCCAGGCTCTGTGCATGGGGCACAGAGTACAACAGGACAGGTGAAGAGGATGGGTGGGAACAGAAATGGCTGCTTGAGAAGATGAGCTGGATGACCAGGAAGCAGGATTTGAGTCACATAACTTTGCCACACTCTCAGTCCTGGGGTGTGGCTTTTCTTTCTGTGCAGAACTCCCATCTGAAGTGTGATGTACCCTTTGGGCAGGGGCAGGAGTTGCCTGCCTTGCTGGGCCTGCTGCTTGCCCCTCCTTTTTTCATCTGAGCACCAGCTGCCTTGCTCTCACCTCCTGTGACACTTCCCACCACTATTGCCTATCTTAGTGTTCCTTTCCTACAAAATGCCCACTCTGGATGGTTTATTCTTCCTCTTTGAATGACACCTCAGGACTCCACCTATGCACGTGTCAGCCTAAGGGAGGAGAGGGGACTTCCAAGGTGTCCTCATGGCTTCAGAGCATGGCTCCTCATGATCATGCTTACCTGAGAAGCCCTTCTCTGGGTTGCTTTGCTGTTGGCTGCCTTTACCAGTGCTGCCAGGAATGACTCCTGGCTCTGGAAGCAACCTCTTGGCTGCTTCCTGCCATGGAAAGTGCACAGCTTGTGCTTATTCCCCTGTCTGAGCCTCACTGGGCACATGGTGCTTGGTGGTGTTTGATCCTGCCCACCTTCCTGCCACCAGCATTGACCTCAGCGAGGTGCCAGAGCCTCGCCTGCCTTTGCTTTGGGCTCTATTGTTCGACAGTTTCTGCCTCGGGCGCATCCGAAGCATAGTTTTGAGATAACAGGAAGAGATAATGCCACAACAGAGATGCTCATTGGTTGTGTTTCCCACACACTTTTTCTGCCTGCATAAAAACAGCGGGCAACTGTTTGGGGCTGCTGCCTGGCCTCCCACACAAATGCCTGGTTTCATTTCCAGCCCTTTCGTGTGGCAGGGGGAGGGTGAGGGAGCACGGTGCAGAGGCAGAGGCGTGCAAGGAGGGATGATGCACTTGGTCCCCAAGCTGCATTTCTGTGTTTGCCACTCCCTGGCTAAACGGCAGTGAAATGGGGACAGGCAACAAGGCTGGTGCATTTGGACACGAATCTCCCTTGTAGAGCCACAGGATGAAATGTCTGGGACTGCTGCTCTTAGCAGCCAGAACTGGGCAAACCTCTCTTCCTCTGCTAAAGCCAAAGTGAGCTTTCCCATGGATAACGGCAATGAAATAAAGGCACGCTGGTTTGCCAACAAGTTCCTATGGAAGGGTCCTCTGCTCTCCAGCTTTTCTTCCATAAAACATGCATGCACATCACGTGCTCCCACGATGGGCTCTTTGCAAAGCCTGCATCAATCCCTTCCCCATTTGCTCCAGAGCCCCCTGGGCTTGT